TATAAATAAAAATATAATAAATAAATTATATTATAATTATATTATTATATTATTAAATAAATATAATTATAAATAAATGATAGAACATGAAATAATAAATACATAGATAAATAGAATGATAGAATACGAAATAATAAATATATCATTAAATAAATACTTGAAGAAAATAAATAAATTAATTATTAATTAAAGAAATAAATAGGACATGAAATAAACATGAAGCAAGTGATAAAAAAATTAAGAAACAAAAAATAAGAAATGAAAAATTAAGTCGTAAGAAGAAAAAAATACATAGGAAAAGAGTCGAAATTGATGAAATTTTGAAATGAAATGAAATTATAAAAGAGAAAAGTAAAATGGAATTAAACTAATGGATAGAAAAAGGAAATGAAATGATGTTGAAAATTAAATAATAAAAAGAAAAAGGAAAGAAAAAGAGAGAAGCTAAAAGAACAGAATTTAAATGAAGATATTAAGTCATTAAATTAGATTAGAAATAATTAATAAAAAGGAAAATAAAATAGAACATAAATGAAAAAAAGGAAATGAAATGAAAATATAAAATACATGAAAATAAAATGAAAATAAAATAAAGTAAAATAAAGTAAAATAGAATAAAGAAACCCTAAATCAACAGAATATTAAATTAAATGTGATATTACTTTAAATTTTAAAAAGTGAAAATGAATCTAAATAAAAATAAGATGAGAAAAAAGGACAATGAAAATAAAAATAAAAATAAACCTGTTGAAAAAATATAAATAAAATGAAAATGAAAATAAAATAAAATAAAAAACTCAAGAGGAAAAAGAAAAAGTTTGAAAAGAAAAAGTAATGAAAAGAAAAAATTCAAAATAGAAGGTAAAATTCAAAATAGAAGAGAAAAAGAAGAAAGAAAATGTCATGAAAAGAAAATAAATGAGAAATGAAAAAAGGAAACAGAAAATAATGGAAATGAAAATTTAAGAGGTGAAAATAGAACTTAAAAATGGAAATTGAAATGAAAATTCAAACAATAAAAATGAAAACAAGTGAAAGGGGAAAAAAATCAACAGAAAAGTGACATGAAAACTGAAAAGAAATCAAAATGAAAAGAAATAATAATGGAAATGAAAGCAAAAGTTATTAATAATGGACATGAAAATACTGAATCATGAAAATAAAGATAATCCTGAAAATAATAAGAAAAGTAAAGAAAATGTAAAAATAAGAATTGAAACCATCAAAGTTTTTGGGTTGGAAAAGATCTTTTAAGATCCTCAAGTCCAACCATTAATAACCAAAATGCAAATAAAACCAAAATAAAAGGGAAAGGGAAAAAGTGGAAAAGAAAAAGGAAAGAAAATATAAATAAATGAAAAGAAAAAGAAACCAGAAATGAAATGAAAGGGAAAATGAAAAAAAAAATTAGAGAAAAATAAAAATGCAAAAAATATATGAAAAGAGAAGTAAAGTAAATAAGAAGTGAAGAATAAATAAAATAAAATATAAAGATATAAATCTTTTGAGGTCCCTTCCAACCCCTAAGATTCTGTGAGAAATAAATAGTAATTAAAGGGAAAATGGAAATAAGAAAAAATGTCAAAATAATGGAAGGAAATTAAATATTAATAATAATAGAAATAAAAAAGAAAGAAATTAAACAGGAAAGGAGTAAAAGGAAAATGAAACAAAAAATAAGGGGAAATAAAAGTGACAAGAGTAGAAATAATGATAATTATGATAATAATAATCATACTAATTATAATAATTGAAAAGAAAAAATTGAAAATAACAGAAATAATAAATAACCATTATAATAATTATAATAATGATAACAATGATAACAATAATAATAATAATAATACTAGTAATTATAACAATAAAATAAAGATAAAGGAACAAAATAATATGAAATATGTGGAAATTAAAATGAAAAGAAAGGGAAATAAGGAAGAAAATTAAAATTAATGGAAACGAAGTAAAAATGAAAGTAGAAAATGGAAAGAAACTGGGAATAAAAAAAGGAAATGAAAATGGAATTAAAAAATAAGATAGTGCTAAAAAATGGAAATAAAAGGAAGAAAAAAAAGGAAATAAAATAGAAAAAAAAGGAAATAAAATGGAAATGAAAATGAAAAGAAAAAGAAAAGAAATGAAAATTAAAAGTGAATATAAAAAAAAATCTAGGAAAAAAAAGACAAGAAAAACCCCAAACCTACCTCATGAAAACACAATCAAATGAAGGTGAACATCAAACTTATGAATAAACTTGCCATGAATATGGAAATCAAAATGCAAATCAGCCCGACCCGACGGGCCGGTGACAACGCAGCGGGAAATCAACTGAAAGGTGAGGATGAGATGAGAACAGGACCTGCTGGTGACACTGGGGGGGACTGGTGGACACTGGGGGGGACTGGTGGGTAATGGAGGGGCTGGTGGACACTGGGGGGACTGGTGGGTAATGGAGGGGCTGGTGGACAAT